AATTCTCATCACTATGCAACTAAAATCTCAACTTCAATTTTGACATGTTCCATAAGTCATGTGCACAGTATGAACATTTTAATAACCATCAATAATCATAATGTCAATATATCATATCCATATATCAACATCAATCCCAAGCAAATTATTCCATAATCTATTTCAATAATACACTTAATTCACAAAGGCACAATATAAACACATAACATGCCCACATAACACCATTTTTCAAGAAATTACAAGTTAGCCATTTCTACGCACCAATTCAAGCTAGAATTAATTTTTACCCATTTCATCAATTTAACAACAATAGGCAAGTGTTATACATCTCTAACAACCTACCCATTCCATATCACAACCCTAGATTGAAAATAAACCTAGTTAGGGAGAAAACTCTACCTCTTGAACCCTAAAAATGAGTTGTAGAAACCTTCAAGAATACCACCCAAGCTCAAACTTTGATTTTTCCAAAATTTCATTTTTGAATCTTTGGTGAAATTCGTCCTTTTTGGTACGTAGGCATAGCCTTTGTTGCATAGATTAACTTTAATACTTGGCCCTAAAGATTTCGATCAAAGGAACTCCATAGATCGTAGAGAGAAGTCTTGAACTCTCTCTTTTCCCTCTCTTCCTCTCTCCAACGAAACCCAGAATAAAGAATGGGGAGAAAATCTAATTTTCTCTCCTATTTATATCCCTTGAAATGCTTGGCCTCCGTCACGCCACACGTCCTACATTCCCTGGTCTGGTTTCGTTGCGAAACGATTAAATTTCATCCTGGTTCAAGTTCAAAATATTTTTATATGATCTTTCTTTAAATTATTTCCAACTTTCTAAATTTTATTCCACAAGTCACGCGACCCCTTATTTTCTGGTAAAACGTAAAAAATTCAACTATCTTGAAATTCAACGAAAATTATCTAGTTAACTAGATTTTACGAGATGAATCCAACGATGAGGTCCGTTTCGTTATATGAGTTCTAAAAAATTTCAAATTTTCAATTCATACTGTAGTGACAAATTATCGTTTTACCCTTTTTTCACAAAAAAAATTCAAATTTACCCGAGTTTCACAACTATTGTCAATGTGTAGTAGAATGTGTTATTATGATTCATAGTCTCCAAGAGGCTCGAATGATGTGAGAAATATGGTGTAAGGAAAAACTTTTATTTTGAAGCCTTATCACGATTCATGTGCGACTATCATGAAAAGGTCACCACAAAGCATATTAGATGCAAATGTGAAAAATGACTAATTTGGTGTGGGTGAACATTATGATGACTAAGGTAAATATAGGTCGTATATGTAAAAATATTCCAATTGTCTCACTCGGATATAGTAAATGCAAGGGCATTGGACATACTAATGGAAAATGTCTACTCTTGATGCTCCATTCAAATGATCCATATGACGGGAATCCTTTTTCATAGCCTCGTGGATCGCAACAATCCTTGCCAACAAATGAAGAGGAAGACCAATGGATGCACTTTGTGCATGAGGGTAGACTTGACTATCAGGTTCATATAATCCGTTATCAGTATTTCTTCTTCCTTTTCTTTTTTGTTTTTGCGTGTGTTTTGCAATTAATTACCTACAAATAAGGATAAAATTAATCTTTTATTTTAGAATGTGATATCCGATTTTGATTCAAGAGTTCACACACAGTACATCGGTGCTAGTTTCATTAACTTTGAGGGAACTAGATAAAATTCTTTTTAAGCAATGTGCCTATAATAGAATATTTGATCATCACCAGCTATTCAATAATTTATGCAGTCTCAGATGGTATCTAGATCATGGAGCAAGCCGAGAAGATAAAATTCTCTATTTCCTAACTGTCAATCAAAAAGATTAACATGTTGCTTTCCTTTTTTTCTCCCTTTATGCCTACATAAAGTAGATTTGCGTGCCTTTTGTTGAGTCCAATCTTCCAATGCCCTTTTTGAGACTATTCAATACCCAAGCAAGGTATTAAAAAAGCAAACAATTGTATTTACAGATAAAATTTGAAAAGCAAATGAAATTATATGAAGATCATTTTAGTATTCCACTTTTTCAACATTCTCTAATGTAATTCCACATACACAAATTCGGTCCTCTAATGGCTCAACAGATAAAGCAACAAATCCTGTTTGGTCCATTAAATGTTGCATGAGCAAATATAAACAAAGTATCATGTTTGGCCTTGGTTATTTCCATCACAAGAATTACCAAGTCATTTTAAAGCTAAATAAAAAGGAACTTTAGAATTTTAGTAAAACCATTATCAAAATGACCAAGGGCACTAATTTCAGCCTCATATTTCAAGTGCATTACCACATGCATCACATTTCAACTGCACCAATTCCATCAATTTATAAAAAAATAAGCTACTGCAGCTACTTAATCAATAAAACCAAACATAACAGGCAGTGTAACGTCTATGTGAATCCCTTAAATTCCTTGTAATAAGCATCCATCTTACACTTAATCTACTTTCAGATACCCCATTGTATCTTCTTGAAACTGTTGCAAATATTAGGCCAAGCTTTGTTGCTGATTTAGAATCCACTGAAGCATTTGTCCAACCAAATTCCTATACAATGCAAAGGTGTTTCCAACTAGATTCATATCCTAGGCAGACCAGATTCATATCCAATGCAGAAATATTTCCAATCAGATTCATATCCAACAGAGAAGAAAATTTTTCTAGGGATTAGCTTTGGACTGGAGCTGTGGTTGTTGTAGGGGTAGGGGTTGGGATTGGGATTGGAAGTAGGATTGGGGGTTAAGGTTGGGGCTGGAATTGGGGCAAAAGTGCCTTCCCAGAGTGATGTGAAGACTCATCATTCCGCAAACTCTTTTTTAATATTTCATTATCTATTTGTTTCATAGGAGTACTGTAAGTATCGTCTAACTGAAAAAATTATACAATACTTTATAACTTTGGGAATTGGAATCGAAAATAGGGGACTTCACTCACTATCTTCCATCTCAGATGAAAAAACAATAGCATCAAATATATAAAGTGGGATAGGTCACTATGTGTAGTTGCCTTAATATGCCTAACTTGGCCATGCATCACATTGTCACCCTCAGTATCCACAGGGCTTTCATTGTGAAAGGTTCCACAAAAGTATCGGTTTACTATTTCGTAAAAGTTTTAACTTGTATTCCTTGCCTTAGCCAGTGATAAGGTTTTTAGTGTGGTGCCCCAATGTTCCCTCAAGAGACTCCCTTCCGTACAATAGCACTTTGAAAAACAAACCCAAGTGACAAAAGTGGATATCAAGTAGTCTGAAGGATAATTAGAGTATTTACGAAATTGTCACTACCGCTCATGACTTAGTTTTCGACTCATTCGTTGAAATGTTTTAGCTTGCTGGCCACATAATGCTACAGCATTCAGCCAACAAAGCACCTGATCATCAATCGTTGTGCTCCATAATCATCAAATGTCCACAACAACATGCTTCCAAATATTTTAAGGGTTGTTACACACGTTGGTGTTGCCTAGCCAAGCATACACCATATTTGGCAAGGTCACAATTTGGTCAGTCACTCACCTGCATGCCTATGCCAATCCAAACTGTTAAGGGGCTAATAGTAACGATTAGCTTCCAAACTCTACTGCCAAATTTCCCATTATGTATTACATGTTTCCTGCAAAAAAATATAGGAAACAACTATTTTTCCTGATAATTTGTCCAACAATTTGGATATCCATTTTTTGTAGTCCATTTACTTGATTTCAAACTCTAGCTATGGGAGCCAACAACTAAAATAAGAGTTTAATTTGGGTCTAACAATCGGAACAAGACGCAACTATACACCAGCTTTACTTGAAACCACTTTACGTCACACTACTAAGCTAGTATATGATGAGTAAAAGGTCAATCTGCGAAAATCAAAAGAGTAATGACACATGAATTTAAAAATTAGACTTATAATCACAATCATTGAATAAATAGTAAATTCTAATAAATTTTGGGACTCATAGTAACATCAATTGTTGTAATTATCAAGTTTAATTTTTAATTAATTTTTAAATCTATTTTTTAAATTCTTGTAGCATTGCTCAAATCAAAATTTTTACGTTCACTTTCATCCTCTTCAAGTATCAAACTTTAAATTTCTTATAGTTTTCTTCTTATCTCACTTTAACAAAATAGGCATTTGAAGGTTAATTTTCTTTCCTTTTCCTTTTCCTTTTCCTTTAGTTTCTGGCATTTTCACTTTCCATCGTTGGTTTCTCTCTAATTAAGCAGAGCCTTAGTTTCTTCTTGATGAAATCCAAACTGAATTTCTTTCACCTTGATCCTCCACTATTCAGACCCTGTCTTCCCTAGCCAACCATATTATATCAGCATAACCTAATTATTTACCAATATTTTTTTGGTGACAAGAACTCCTCTAAATTAAGGCAGATTAATCTTGTGTGTGCGCACCCAAGGTTTATTTGACACATGATAAATTACGGTTTGTGGTTCATTGTGATAAAAAAAAAGTGACAATAATTGAAAATTTAGTTAAGAGCAATGCTAGTCTCTAATTTGGGGACATAATTAAGAACCTAATTTGCTGCAATCATTGATTAGTTGTGATGCTCAAAGTTATATAGAACCCGCTTTTAATCCAATAACTTTATTGATTAGGTTTCTAAATTTGGCACAAATAACATTTTCTTTCTATTAATATTGGCAAAGAATTTACATTCCTTATTTGTATTGACCTTGGATCGAACGCTGATCTTTCGTTCTCCTCAAGATTTTTGAAATATGTTCCCATGGCGGCAAACATAAGGCCTGTACACGTCAATATACAAAGTTTTGTAAAATTAGCTCTGCCATAGCATTTGTTTGGCACCGCCGAAAATGTAACTGCCCATTTAGGCGTAGCTTGCTTTTGAGTTCCGCAAACCAAATTTACAGGCACTCAAATCCTATAAATGCCCCTCAAACTGCTTCAACTCCTCAACATCCCAACTTCTTACAGAGATCTCTCTCTCTAGCAAACAAGGATGATGAACACCATGAGCCTTCTTTCACTCTCTCTTCTCTTCATCTTCTTCTATGCATCACTAGCAGCTCAAGTGACATACAATGTACAAAGTTTTGGAGCCAAACCCAATGACAATACGGACTCAACCAAATCCATCCTGAACGCATGGACTGCAGCTTGTGCCTCAGCACAGCCGGCTACGATCTACGTGCCACCGGGAAGGTACATGCTTAGCAGTGCATTCTTTGACGGGCAAATCTGCAAGGCCAGTTTTATCACGATACGAATTGATGGCACCCTCGTGGCTCCGTCAGATTACAACGTTAACGGACATGCCGGGCACTGGATTAAGTTCGAGAGAGTCAGTGGACTATCCATCTACGGCGGAACCCTAGATGGTCAAGGGACTCCTCTGTGGGCTTGCAAGGCTTCTGGCAGGAGTTGCCCTAAAGGTGCAACGGTATGTCATTTAAGAAACTGAAACTGCTCTTTTACCATTTTGTTTTACCCTGTAACTAGCCTTCACACCACCCCCATCCCCTGAAAGAAAAAACAAAGCAAAAAATGTAGTCTTGTTCATTACATTGTTAAGAGCGATCAAGCTAACGGCATGATTTGTTTATTAATCACCTAGAAAGGAACAATAATTTGAGCACGAAATTATATTTCTACGGTGGGTGCCGTGGCCATGGCTATCAGGAATTGGCATCCCAAATAACTGTGACTCACTGTTTTCAGAAGGGAAGTTGAAAGGTTTCTAGTGGGCATTACTCTTTATTTCGTTTTCATCCATTTTCCATGTAGCCAGACAAACAGCCTCAAATTCCAAATAGTGGGTTGGCAGTTACTAACTGTTATTATATTTAAATATAATTTTTATGCATATCCTATTTAAAAAGTGGCACACTATGGATTTTACGGTTTTCACCGACTGTTTCCTAAGGGTCTATTTGTTTAGTAAGAAAAAAATAATAGAAAATGTAAGAGATAAAAAATAAAGTGAAAAAAAAGAAGGTGAAAAAAATTATATTTCAATAATATGCATTTAGTTAGCAATAAAAACTTCTAAGTAAATTTTAAAACAATTTCATTATATTGTTTGAAAGAAAGAAAAGTTACAAGAAATTTTTTCTAATTTTTAAAATTATTTTTAATTATTTTAATCGGTTTAAAGAAGAAAAATAATTTTTATTATTCAATTTTTTAAAAAATTGGCTCTAACTTAATTCAAAGACAAAAATCAACTCGAACACTGATCTCTAAATCAAATTATATGGTTTGTACAAAGCTTTGTAAAATTAATAACTAATTGAATATTTTAAGAAAAGTAAGGGTAAAATAAAAAGTTATGTTATTGAACACAACTTTCTTTTTTGAAAGAAAAAAAAAGTTAGTTAGATATAATAAAATCTAAATATGAAAGAAAATTATTTTTTCTATGATTTTTTATTTCATGTTAAACAAATATAAGATTTTTAAATTTTCTATTTCTTGCATTTTTAAACATTATCTTATTAGATCCTAGAGAGAACATTGCTGTAAATTAGTGATAGTAAGGTCAACTAAAAACTTTTTGGCTATATCATAATGCCAGATATTGCTCGGAGCAACCTGCAAGAAAATAGTATAGCCTGATGGTGCTTTCACTGTGGTGTGAATGGTTTGTTATTATGATTATACATTTGAACAGAGATATGTGTACAATGTTCTTGCATGTATGTGCCGCAGACCCTGGCAATCTACAATTCAAACAAAGTTGATGTCAGTGGGTTAACATCATTAAACAGCCAGATGTTCCACATCGGCGTCGATGGATGCCACAACGTTAAGCTGCAAGGAGTGAAAATCTTGGCCTCAGGCAAAAGCCCGAACACAGATGGCATTCATGTGCAATTATCATCTAGTGTCATGATCTTCAACTCTCACATTGCCACAGGGGATGATTGCATATCAATAGGCCCCGGCAACACCAATTTATGGATCGAGAACATCGCGTGCGGCCCTGGCCATGGCATAAGGTAATCATAGTGTCACAAGAGTTGAAAGTCATTGCAATGATATAGGCATAAGCTTTTTAGGTTGTGCATTTTGAGGTGACCACATTTTGCCTCCACTTGTAGAGTTCCAATCCAATCGTTAGAGTTTAATATTTTTTATTGTGAAATGAAAAGTGGGTCGATACGGTGTAGGGCTTCCAACTCACAGAAGTCATCGTACAAATTGTGTTGCTTTTGTACAAAAGGCGTCATTATTAGTTCAATTGATATGGACGTAAAAGTTGGGGTGATCATCAGTTCAATTGATACGACTATAAAAGTTAATACTAATTCAAATGTGCTGTGTTTTCTTGGTGTAGCATTGGAAGTCTCGGCTGGGAACTAGAAGAAGCAGGAGTCCAAAATGTGACAGTTAGATCGGTTACATTTACAGGTAGCCAAAATGGTCTCCGAATAAAGACATGGGCGAGGCCTAGCAACGGATTTGTTAGGGGAGTTCTTTTTCAGCAAGCGGTCATGATCAATGTGAAAAACCCCGTTATAATTGACCAAAATTACTGCCCTGACAATGAAAATTGCCCTCATCAGGTAAGATTTGTTGCTAGTGTTTGTAGTTATGATATTGGATAAATGAAATATGGGCCTTCTGTAATCGCTTGAACACCTGACCATTTTTTTGGTCTCTAATGTTCGATTTTTATAGGGTTCTGGTGTGAAGATCAGTGATGTCACATACCAAAACATCCATGGAACATCTGCCACGGAAATTGCTGTAAAATTGGATTGTAGTAAGAAGGACCCTTGCAGTGGGATAAGACTGGAAGAAGTAAGCCTCAGCTATGGGGATCAACCAGCTGTAGCATCATGCGTTAATGCCGGAGGAACTGCTTCTGGTTTAGTTGAGCCAACTGGCTGCCTTTAGAAAAAGCTAAAGCTGGTCAAATATTTATTAGAATAGGCTAAGCATGTAGAGAAAACAGCCGAAATCTTTGTCCCATCTGAGTCGGGGGATAAAATCGTAATATTTCCTAGTTTAAATCTTAGCCTAATGGTTATTTAAGTGAAGGGTGTTGCCCTGTTGCCTGGCAATGCAAGCAGTATGCAAGCAATATTTCCTAGGAATATGAGCTTTGTTCTGAAGTATAAATGGAAGTTCATCAACTATATGCAAGGGCGAACCAGGAATTTTATGCTGGGTGGACGCTTTAATTATGCATTCTAATTTTTTTCCTTCTAACTAAGCACAGTATATAACATATTTATATTTATTATATTATATTTAATATATGAAGTTCATTTAACATAAAAAATTCTAAAAAAAAATGTATATTGCCAGAAGTGGAGTCATAAATATCTACGATAGAGCCAAAATATAACTAGTATAAAAAAATATTAAGCCGAAATTAATACAAAAAAATTCAGTTCAAGAATAAAAAAAAAGTAAGAATCAATACTAAATTATTGTGAAATAGTAAATTCAATTTTTATTTAGCCAAAATAAAATCTTAACAGAAAGACACAAAATAATTTTTTTAGTACATTTTAACCTAATTATATATTTCAATAAAATATAAAAAATTTTAAAATCTCTAAAACTTTGTATATGAATTAAATGTAAATTAATTTTCATATTTTATTAGGTTATAAATTACTATTACTAAAAAAATGGTAAATGAAAACTAAACATTATTCTTAAAAAATAACGAACATTGTGTTAGGTAAAGAGAAATATTATATTTTTGTCAATATACAAATAAAGCATTGATTCAATGCAAAACTAACATATTTATTTTTAAGGATTAGTGGTCCACTAATTTATTAAAAAAAAAAAGACTAGAACCATTATTAAAATTTCCAAAAATTTTGGAGGTAAATATAATTTAAAAAATAATTTTATAGGTTGGAGCAAAGAAGGATAAAAAAACTCAAGGAACTGAGGTTCTCGTGTGTTGAGTTTTTATCTGTTTCTTCTCTTTTTCTTGTGGCTGGGCAATGGGCAGCTGGGAGTGAGTGATACAGAAAGGGAAAAAAAAAAGATAAGATATGTATTAGTCAAGTGGGCCAAAAGTTTTGTTTTTAATGTTGGGCTAAAGTTTTTTTTTTAAAATAGGTTTGAGTGGATTGTGATAGGTTAAATATTTGATTTTTTAAGAAGTTTGGATAGATAATAGTGAGTTCAATTTTTTTTGTTTTAAATGGACTTAATTTTTTAATTATTTTGGATAAATAATGTGGGCATAATATAAATGAAAAGAGCACACATATATATATATATATATATAAATATGTAATACATATATCTAACTAATAAAAATAATAATTTGACCGCTTGGGGGGGGGGGGGGGCACGTGCCCACCCTGGCCCCTAACTCCCTCCGCCTATGACTATATGTTTGTGATGATGCCTAAAGTAACTGAGTTCAGCTCAGACCGGGAGATCAGCCATATTAACTGAGGTCAGAAGGCGAGGGCTGAAGGTCTCTTGAAGCAGGGCAACGGGTAGATAACCATGAGAGGTTCCTAAAGCATTAGGAAGCTATAATTGATGATGCCTAAAGTAACTAAGGTCAGCCTAAAGTAACTGAGTTCAGCTCAGACCGGGAGGTCAGCCATATTAACTGAGGTCAGAAGGCAAGGGCTGAAGGTCTCTTGAGGCAGGGCAACGACTGGATAACCATGAGAGGTTCCTAAAGCGTTAGGAAACTATAATCAAGGCACCTAATCTCAACCCAACCAAGATATTCTCCTAGAATTAAGGAGAACCCCACGAAATAAGGCCCAGAATCTCGGCCAAGATCCCACTGAATAAGGAACAACCCTATAAATACTATGTAACGCCCCCAATGAGGGGAGAGGACCCTAGTATCACATATTACAGTCTGTAAACCTTTAAGTATAGTAAATAGTGAAAGAAATGAGCAAGAATCTCCATGGAAGAATGGATTAGCCGAGCTCCCGAGCTGGTGAACCACTATATTTTCACTGTGTACACCCCTTTAATCCCCTGAATATTTTATCGTAGCATCATATATGAGTCTCGAAGCTCTGATCCACGCTCATCTCACGTTACCTGCACCTTAAGCTCATCCACGTTGAAATACGCTATCAGTTTGGCGCCGTCTGTGGGAACAACTGTTCCTGTTACGAATAAAACTAATTTTTCAAAGACTGATGGTATCAACGCGAAACATGAGCCGAAGTCAGACCAATCCTCTACGGATGCAAGATCAACAGGAAGCCGCAAATAGCAGACGATCTGAAAACACTCAAGAAGCAGATCCCCCCATGGGGGGCCTTCCCATGAATAATGAGATGGACGTCATTCGTCTTGTCAATGAATGTCTGATAAAACAGAACGAAGAGCTCTTAAAGCTCCTACAACGCCCATAGGAGGCGCGACTGGCCCAAGAAGGCCAGAATAACCCACCACCAACAGAGCAATCGCATCTCGACCCCCTCAAAGAAGTTAATGAGGTGGAAGAGAATAGTCAGACCTTGGGACAAGAACCTCGCCTACTCCCTAGAAATGGTCACAACAAGGAAGTGCAAAATAAGTATAAGGAAGGGGAGAGGAACGACTTCTTCCCTTATCAACAGGAGAGAAGAAAACACCACTGGGAGTAACGTTTCAAAAACATCTAGTAAGAGCCCAGCCAGATGAAGGAGGCAGTAAAAAGCAAGGTCTCAGTCACTATGGATGCCTTGGTGTAGCAAACCGAATCGTCATTCACTTATGGGGTGCTGCATTTCCGTCTCCCACATAAATTCAAAATGTCGCAGGTGGATGCTTTCGATGGGACAAAAGATCCCGTGGACTACCTGAACACTTACAAAAATCAAATGGAGTTGTATGGATATCAAGATCTAGTGAGATACAGGGTCTTTGCTATCACCCTAAAGGGCTCAGCCTTAGCATGATTCAACAGACTCCCCCCAGCCTCGATTTCCTCTTTTAAAGAGCTGTCAATCTTGTTTGTATCCCACTTTATCGAATCTCAGACCTATAGGAACCCAGCTACCATTTGTTAAATGTGAAAATAGGGCCCTGATGAGAACCTACGGTCTTATGTCCAACGGTTCAACTCAGAATCCTTGAAGGTGGATGTCCTAAACGAAAAAGTTGTAATTACAGCCTTCATAGCAGGTATGGGAGTTCAATCAAAAGATCTGATATTTTCCATCTCAAAGAACCCCCAGGCTAGTATGACGGAGGTGCTTGCCAAAGTAGAAAAGTACATAAATGGTGAGGAAGCGCTCCTCTCCAAGGTTTGGAGCTCTTTGTCGAGAAAGGAGAAAGGGAAGGAAAAAAATAAGAGAGAACGAAGTCCTAGAAAGGAAAGAGAACGAGGCATGTCTCCAAGAAGAGACAGAGAGCGTTCCCCGAAGAGAAGAGGAAATGTCAGGGATCGCCTCGGCCCTCCACAACCAGAGCTACAACCAAGGTATGCACCCCGATAGCTCACCCCCTGACTGCTATAGTGTCTCAAATACTGTATGAGATACCAAATGAGAAGTTCTTAAGGCGGCCACCCTAGATGAAAGCATACCCAACAAAAAGGGATCCTACAAAATTTTGTGACTTCCATAGAGACCATGATCATCACACCGACGACTGTATCTAATTGAGGAGGGAAATAGAATTTCTAATCCAAGGAGGGCAGCTGCGATGCTACATGGCCAATGATAATCAAAATCGAGCTCTCCCACCCCCACCCCCTCAGCGTCGAGCACTAGAGCCACACTAGCAACCTATGGGGGAGATCAGCGTGATATCTAGAGGATTTGTCGAAGGAGAAGGGTCCAGCTCTGCCAGAAAGGCCCACTTGTAAAAAATCAGAGCCACAGAAACTCTCGAAGTATATACTGTGTCTAAGTCTCCACGCTTGGACACGACTATCACTTTCTCAGATTCAGATCTGGAGGGCTGCCAACATCCCCATGATGACCATTTAGTGGTAAGAGCTGTGGTGACCAACAAGACTATCCATCGTGTTTTGATTGACAATGACAGCTCGACAGACATCATTTTTGCTTCTGCTTTCGACAAAATGGATATAGGAAGGGAAAAGCTTGAACCAGTAAGTGCCCACCTATTGGGATTCTCAAGAGAAAGGGTGCTACCCCTGGGGTCAATCCAACTCATCTTGACCTTAGGTGACCCACCCTGTCAGACTACAGCAACTGTGAAATTCCTAGTGGTTGATGTACCTTCAACATACAATATGCTCCTTGGAAGACCCTCGCTCAATTCTATAAGGGCTATTCCCTCTGCCTATCACCTTGTAATAAAGTTCCCAATAGAATATAGAGTTGGAATGGTCCGATGAGACCAACGCGTAGCACAGGAATGCTACATGGCATCCATGAGAAATAAGGAGGTTGAGAGCATCCAATTGGATGAGCTTGACATGAGGGATGAACTCGAGACCAGGCCAACATCATCAGAACAGTTGGAACCTGTTCAAGTTGATGAGGAGCCAGAACATCTTGTTTACGTTGGATCCAAGCTGAGCAAGGAGGTCAAGGATCTCCTCATCCAATTCTTGAAAAGGAACAAGGAAGTTTTTGCATGGAAGCAAGAGGACATGAACGGGATTGATCCCTCTGTCATCACTCACAAGCTTAGCGTGAATCCAGCCTGTAAGCCCGTTAAGCAGAAGAGGAGGAACTTTGCCCCAGAGCGTCAGAAAGCTATCAACGAAGAGGTCAGCAAGCTCCTTCATGTGAAAGCCATTCGAGAAGTGGATTACCCACTCTGGCTAGCCAATGTTGTCCTAGTCAAGAAAACAAATGGCAAATGGCGTCTTTGCATTGACTTTACAGACCTTAACCGTGCTTGCCCAAAAGATAGTTTTCCTTTATCCCAGATAGATTTGATTGTAGATGCCACTGCGGGACATGAGCTCCTCAGCTTCATGGATA